CGTATAGCATCGCTGTGTGTGAGTAATACCCCAATTGTGGTTAACGTATAGCATCGCTGTGTGTGAGTTGTTTAATAAGTTTGTAATACATTGCTATGTTTTTGTTTTTATAACTAGTAATTTATGTCCAAATCGGATAAGGTTCAGAAAATGTTATTTTATATAACAAATATTTAGTAAATTTTTATTACAGGCACATAAAATTCAATTAAGCAAACAATCATAGGCAATTTAATATGTTTAATGCGAAAGTGAAAAGTGATAAGTATTTATCATTAAATGAATATGAGTTATTAACTTTTTATTCATTGACTAATAGTCAAAATACTAAAAATCAATAATATTTGAATACTGTAAGTATTCAATATTACTAACCAATATTTATTCAATGATCAATACTTATCACATTTCACTTTCGCATTACACATATACTGTATCGTAATTAATATAACTGTAATAAAATTTATAATATAAACTAATAACCATTTACATGGATTAATTGTACATATAATTAAAGCATTAAAATAGGCGCACCTTCATAAAAAGATGATGAAATTTACATATAATTAAAGTATTGAAATAAAAATCTTAAAAAATATTTAAAAGTTTTGAAAAGTTAAAATGAAATATTATAAATAAACTTTAATTAAAAATTGTTATAAAAATTTTATTCTAATACTTATTTATAATTACAAATATAAAACATCCTATGATACCAACAATTCAGTATCAAGGTTTGATTGCTCTTCATTAATATCACCTGGATGATGATTGTTATTGCAATTATCTCCATTATCATCATCGCATTCGAGATTATCGTATTTGTTAATTAATACTTTACAATGATAGTCAATTATATTTGTGGCCAAATTGTTATATTTTTCCTTTGAGCTATTACAATTACAATTATAATAAATTAAAATTATTTATTAATATCAACACAAAAATAACTAAAATAAAAAGTAAACATACCTAAAAACCAAGATTATGACCACGATTACTAACATTGCATTTAATGCTATGCTTATGTAAGCCAACGGTCGTGCAGAATATTCTGATACATCTTGGCTATCAGTGAACGCCTCGTAGATCTCTTTACTTTGACCTTAATTTAAATTAAAATTAATAAATATATTAATTAAAATACATAATTATTATGGTAATTAAACTAGACATAAAAGATTAATATGACCAACATTATTCTTATAAGATAGCATAGCATTACTGGTACATTACCTGGCTTTTTGAAAGCATGATAAGTGAGATTAAAGCCACGCCTGGGCTTATTATGATCGCTATTAAACATTATATGGATCTCATTGGACACAAATATAATCTGAGGAGGAATGTTATCTCCTGTATAAGTGACAAAACTGCTGTTCCTATCGAAGCCGTCGTGAATACGGAGATAATCGAAGTTGTAATCGGTCTCAAAGTCAGCGAATGTGATCATAACCATCATGTCTGAGGGCACAGATATGTTCCACACGCAGACCAGTGCGAAAATGTACTCACCTGGGTAACCGGGCTCACTATTTCCTTCCTGGTCGAATTTAGCGTAAGTCCACAGCCTATCAATTATTGCAAACATTAAATTTTAATTAATATAAAATTAAAATATTGAGAATATATCTGAATTGTGAGTAAAAACAAAAATATTATACAGTAATACATGAACTGGGTGAACCATGAGTTGTGTGAACTAAGGATTTGTATGAACCAAGTCTCAAAACAAACTAGTCTCTCATAGACATAATGTTAAAATAACATGATTTGTGTGAACATGAACATTGTGAACTAATTATCTGTGTGAACAACTTATATCTAAAATTATGTGGCATTCAATGCATTTCACAAGGAGTTGTGTGAACCACACAAAATAGCAAATCTATAGCCAAATATAAATGACAGCACTAAGAAATTTCGTACACAAAACGGCTAATAAGCTGTTCACATTCAATAAACTATTAAAACAACAGACAATTACGACTAAAGCCTCAGCACTTTATTACTCCTTTGAAACACATTATTTGGAAAATTAGTGTTGGTATA